TGAGTAATGTATAACCAGCCTCTCCCAGCAGCTACCGGGCGGTGTGACTTCCAGAACAGTGACCTCTTTTTTGGTTGGCGGTCGGAAGGGAGGAGAAGTGGGATTTAGGTCAGTCTGGTGGCATGACATCCACCGTGACCTCACAGATTGGTGTCACCCTGCCTCTCCTCACCTGTCCCCTTGTCTCTTCACCTGGGCTGTGCTCCCATTGCCTCGGGGCAGGCCTGTGGTGCTCGGGGCAGCCCGGTCACCTCCCCATGTCCTTTCCCTGGATGTGGCTCTAACCTTCACAGCAATTTTGAAATGCTGGGGGACTGATAACAGCGGTATGACTCAGCCATGTCACCTGTGGCCGTTGGCTTGGCCTGAACTCCAGTGTCCAAGTCATTGCCTCGGTAGTCTGTGTGCTGGGGCACACCATTGTGGGTAGGTACAAGCCAGGGAAAGTCACCTTGATGAAGGCGTGTGGTTGAAGGGCTGGTGGCAGGGGTGGGGATGCTTTTGGAGAGCAGATGCTGGCAGCTGCTGTCAAGCTGGGATGAGATGCCAGCTGGGTGCTTGCCTCCTGCCCTGGGTGACAGGGGTGCTTTCCAGGCTGATGGTGCTGTGCAGCCCTCCGGCTGGGTCCTGTGGTTGGGGAGAAGCTGACGCTGTCCCTTGGTCTCCTCCTGCAGGGAGGAAAGCTCTGTCCCCTGGCTGCCAGGGAGAAGGTGGGCCCTGAAGCAGGGCATCCAGGTGCTTGTGGAGGGCAGGCCAGAGCCTGAATCTGCTCTAGGGGGGAGCAGAGCAGAGCTGGTGGCTGCTCCTGGGGGCTTTGTTCAATGTGCAAGCTCCTCTGCCTCCTGACCAGGCAAATGGCTGCTACCCTGCCCAAAATAGCCCCTGTATGCTGCCAGCTGCGTCCTTTGGCCCAGTTGGAGGGTCCCCAGCACCCACCTGTCTGGGGGTGGTGTAGATGGGCCCTGCTCCCATGGGCTGGCAGGATCTCGGCCGGTGAGCCTGGGCTGGGTGTGCTTGGCAAGGGCACAGCAGCCTGCTCGATGCATTGGCAGGGCTGAGCGGAGCTGCTGGTGTCTCCTGCCAGCTGGGCCCCCAGCCCTCGGGCACAGGGGGAAGAAAGCCAGGAGCTTTGTGGACAAACCTGTAGATCCACTGGGGAAGTGAACTGACAGGCAGAAGATGTTTGCGTGAAGATGGGTTTGCCGGGGACACCCAGCCTCTGCCAGGCTGCGTGGGGAGCGTCCCATTTCCTGCTTGCATCTTTGCGTCGTACAGGGAAGTGTTTCTCACCTTCACTGTCCTTTCATTGGAGAATTCTCTTTCTTGGACTCCCCTGGGGTAATGACACCCCATGTTTGTTTGTGTCATTAAGCAGCATCTTCCAGCACTGCAAGGTGGAGAATTGGCAGAGCCTTCCTTGGGTGATGGGTGTGCAGGCTAACTTAACACCTGTGTGCTGGGGGGTGGTAGCTCCTAGGACAACTGTCTGAACAACTTGTGGGGCTCTGCTGATTGCAGAAGGAAAACACTGGTAGCATCAGAGCAGACTACAGCCATGGCACAGGGGGAAACAAACAGCACCGAATGAGCAGGACTGGCAGTGGGAGTGGTCCTTGATCCAGTGCTGTAACCAGCATCTCTTCCTCCTGCACTTTGAAGGGCTTCCAGTTTGCCCTCTGCAGCTCCACTAGGCTGGACTTGGGTCTTCCAAAGAGCCCATAGTGAGCCTGTTTGTGAGCTGATGCTGTCAGCTTGAAGGAAATGTGGACCATCGAGTCTAGCTGGCTTCCAGTTAAATTCCCACACTGGGAGCAGACAGTGCTTAGCATGCAACTGAAACACTTTGAGCATATGGGACCATGCAGGACAGATACCTGGGTGGACCACAGGGCAAATGAGAGTGGAGGCTCTCTGTCAGAGCTCACTTCTTGTCTCCTTCCACCCATCCTGGGTGTAGCAGACCCTGTCACCTCCCTGCCCTGCTGCTGACTGTTCTTCTCTTCTGCAGAATCATCAAAACTGTGGTCAAGACCTTCAAGTATTTCTTCGGCCTGAGATTTGAGGTGAAGGGACTGGAGCACTTCGAGGTGGAGGGCCCTGCAATCATTGTGTCCAACCACCAGAGCACGCTTGACATGATGGGTGAGGAGCTGGAAGGGGGGAGCAGTTCTTTTCTTGCCATCAGAGAAATTCTGCTTGCATCCCCTGCCCTGACTGGTCTGTGCTACCAAGCCAACTGATCCAGTTTTCTCTATTGGTGCTGGTTGCAGGAAGGGTTTCCCCTGATTCTGAGCAGTCACACCCCTGTGCACTACCCCAGGTACTGCACAGCTTTGGGTGCTTCTCAGCTCCCTCTTAACATCCCTGCCTCGCTGATAGCCTGGCTGGCCTAGCACTTGTGTCAGGGCACCAGGCGGCCAGGCATGAGGGGTGGCACTGTGGGGCTGAGGAGCAAGTTGCCTCCTGAGGGCTTTTGCTAGGACCTGCAGCCACCCTGCCCCTGTAGTTCTGCTGTGTGCTGAGTCTCTGTCTGCTCTGTTGATGGCAGCAGAAGCCAGCAGAGAAACAAGGCACTGGCCTGTCCCTCGTACTCCCTGCCCCACCTCAGATAGTGTCTTGTCCCATCCAAGAGCAGGATGGGGGAGTGGCAGCTTCTGGTTCTCACCCTCTGCTGTCCCATTAGGGCTGATGGAGGTCCTGCCTGATGACTGTGTCCAGGTGGGCAAGAAAGAGCTGATGTACGCCGGCACTGTGGGGCTCATCATCTACCTCGGTGGTGTCATCTTCATCAACAGGAAGAGCACCACCAGCGCCAAGATGGTGATGGCAGAGGTGGCCAAGACTATGGCAACGGACAATGTGAGTGTGACTGTGGCACTTGGCAGGGTGGCATGTGTCTGGGTGTCCTGGGGTGGCATGGGGGGATGTGGAACTTCTGGTGCTGGCTCACCTGGAGTCACAGCCACCTGCAGCTCTTGGCAAGGCTGGCTGGTGGCTCAGCCAGCAGGAAGGGAGCACTGCAAGTGGATTGCTGGAGCAGGGCCTTATCTCCCCATATGCAGGTGAAGGTGTGGGTGTACCCAGAGGGCACGAGGAACTGCACAGGGGATTTGCTGCCATTCAAGAAAGGAGCATTTCACCTTGCTGTCCAGGCACAGGTAACAACACTTTGCTCCTGCGTGGGGACCCTGAATGGTTTTGCAGTGGCACTGCAGTCTGGTCATGCGGTAGTATGGTTTATTTGCTCTCAAGTGAGCTGTGTCCCCAGGTCACAGCTGAGCCCCTCAGCTAAATCACAATCAGGTGTCCTAAGTGCTGTCCAGCAGGAGCTGAGAGCCTTGTCCATCCCCGGCAGGAGTGACTTGACCCCTGTGGACAGGGAGCTGCAGAGAGTGGAGAAGCTGCCTTGTCCTCTCTCCTGCCTCAGCATTGCAGTCCCAGTGTCCCGTCTGGTGGGCAGAGCGTGGGGGACAGGCACACTGAACCCCCTAGTTCAGTGGCAGCGTGGCGGTGCAGTGTGTGTGCCCTGCTCCTGGGAGCGTGGCTGTAGTACAGAGCTTGCCGCTGGCAGGGAGCCCAGCGGGTGCTACACTTTTTGTGAGCTTGTCTGGGGAATCCCAAAGCTGTTGGTGTATTTCTCAATCCCCAAGGTTGCAATAGTGGAGTGTTGATTCAGGGTTGTTAATGCTAGTGCTTTAGAGCAACATCTGGGCTTGCTCTCTGTGGAAATAGCCATTTCCTCCCAGACAGCCATATGGCATTTCTTGATGTGTCTTAAATGCCTTCTCTCTCCAAAACTACAAGGTCCATGAGCAGTTAGTGGGGGAGCAGACAAACAGCTCCTTGGCTTTGGACAGCTAGAGCTGTCAGTGCTCCTGAAGGAGCAGTGGTGCTTGCCTGGGCAGAGCTCTGGGGCGCTGTGCCAGGGACACTGAAGGCCTGGCTGGGCTGCCTGTGCCCAGGAGGTTGCTGGAAGCGGAGCCGCCCTGCTCTGCTCCCGGGTGCTGGGGACTAGGCGCTGGAGAGGCGGCTGGGAGGAGGTGGGTGCTCTGCTTCCCGTGCGTGCTCTGCCTTGTCTCTGGGATGGGATGACTCGAGGCCTGAGGGGAAACTGCTTTTCCTAAAAGAGGCGTTATACCAGGGATCCTGGAGAAGTGAGTAGGTGCCAGATCTCTTGCTGGGTTCTATTGGCCAAGCCCAGAGTGTAGCCTGCATTGTACCATCCCCGTCCCTGCTGGGGTGATGTAACCAAGGCAGGAGCTGGCAGCTGCTAGAGGGAAAGGATGGCAGTGGAAATGGTACCCACCTCTGCTAATGTGCCCCCTGAGTCACCAGCTGTAGACTGTGTTATCAGCATTGAAATAATGACGCTGTGCCTGCCCTCCTGGCTGTGTCTCTGCCTGTCTGAAGCTTCCCTGGGAGCAATTGATTGCAAGTGGTGACTCCTTAGAAGCTGAAGGCACACCAGCTGGCCTGCCCCAAAAGTGTGCTTGTACAGCATGGCAAGACCTGTCACAACAGCCATCCTCCAATGCTTGAGGGTCAGAAAATACCTGAGTATCGAAGCCTGACTTGGGACAAGGAGCCCCGAGAGCCAGCGCTGACCTGAGACTGAAGTGTAACTTGGCCCTAGTGCCTTGAAGGTCCTTGTGCCTTCAGTTGCTGGGGAGTGGTTTTTGATCCCATTTGACTCCCATCTGTCCCAGCCTTTGGAAGTGGGTCTTGCTTGTGGTTAGCCTTGCTGCTTAGCTCTGGCCTGCTCAGAGTTGCTGCTGTGCAAGTAATTTCTCTTTTTTTTTTTTTTTTTTTTCTCTTCTTCCCCAAGGTCCCAGTGATCCCCGTGGTGTATTCCTCCTTCACCACCTTCTATAACCCAAAGAAGAATCTGTTTACATCAGGTAGCAAAGACCTTGAGGGCCTTTACAGCCACTTGGTTGATGGGATGCCGTACCCCTGTGGAGATCTGGTTCACAAGGGTGTGGGGGGAGAAGTAGAGCTGGGTTGAACAGGAGTTGTCCCTCTGAGATACGTGTGGAGTCAGTTAAAGCACTTGGCGCTAGAGCCTGGGCTGGGTTAACTCAGGAAAGAATGTAATTAAATACAGTGAGGAAAGCTTTCATTAAAAATTGGATTCCACCTCTCCCTCTCATAACTGGCACTGCCCAAGTCATTTGGTGGGGGCGTGGGGAAAGAAGTAGGCGTGCTGACCTTCCAAAGCAGGGACCCCTCTGCAAGCAAAGAAAGAAAGATGGTCCTTTTGAAGCTCTGAAGTCTCGTCAGTACAAGTGCTGGGCAGAAAGTTGGCTTTCAGTCAATTTGGAGCAGTACCTCTCACTTTTTGGGAGGATGCCATACTTGCCATGTTCCCTGCATGGATGGCTGGAGCCAGCCAAAGGTAGGAGGGTTGGACAGAAGCAGATGGAGGGAGCACCTGGTGCAGGCTGTGCCCAGCATGGCGCTGGAGCTGCGTGGGTCCATGGCCCTGGGCTCCCCCTACCCTTTTGGCCAGCAGGTGGGGCAGAGCGGCCACACTGGAAAGGGGCAAGCTCTGGCTGGGGCGTCAGTTTGGGGCACAAGGGAAATGCTCTGCTTGGCGCAGCTCTTAGAGGGCAGGGTCTAATCCCCGGAGCGATTTCTTACCCCTGAGACCAGCGCAGCCTCTGCCTGTGCTCCAGGGATGGATGACTGAAGCCCTGTAGGGCCATGAGGGCTGTGCTGGGGCTGTCCAGGGTGGGGGGAGCAGGGGTGCTGGGAGGGCAGAGAACAGCGCTCCTGCAGTGTGGGTTTCTCATAGGCTCTTCTCTTGTTCCCAGGCACAATCAAGGTTGAAGTCCTGCCTCCAATAGAGACCAAAGGCCTGACATCAGATGATGTCTCTGACCTCACTGACAGATGCTTCCACATCATGAGGGAGACCCTGTTCAGGCTGTCAGGCCGTCCAAGTGAGGCGAAGGACTCGTCCTAGATGCTTCTCCAGTGGCGTCACCGTGTGGTGGTGGCTGAAGGAACCTGTCTGTTGCCAAATACCAAAGGAACTTTTCTTCCTCTGCAGTGACTTCTAACTCTGGGAACACCATGGACTGGCACACACAGGGTGTTGAGCCAGCACTGAGGTTCCTCATTGAGTGGATTTCTCTTATGGGTTCATTATCTTGCAATGAAACGTCTCCTTTTTCTGAATTTCTCAGGCATCAAACCTGTGCTACCAAAGGGCTCAGTGACTGGAGAGGTGAGTTCCCCCAGCTCAGGCAGCTGGCATGCTGCTCAGACAGGGCTGAGAATCAGGTGAAAATCCAGACTCTGTCTCTTCAGCAGCACTGGGAGCGCAGCGTCCTCCCTGGGCAGCCCGGAGCGCTGCCATCCGGCATGGTGGAGCTCACGGGCGGTCTCTGGGGCCAGGCCTGTCTCCTTGAGAGATGCCTTTGGGTCCCAGCAACATCTTGTGCTGGGGCTTTATGTTGCCCAGGCACTCCTAAGCCAGGTCTTTTACTTCCGAAGAAAGCACCTAGGGCCAATAACCCCAGCTGGGCTGCAAAGGGGGATGTGTGGGGCCAGTCAGCCTTAAAATGTCTCTTCAGGCTCAATTGCCTTGTCTGAACAAGTGCCCTTGCTCGCTGAGGGGTGCAGCAGTGGGGAGGAAGCTGTGGTCTGACCAGCTGGTGTATATGGTCTGGGCAGAGTTTAGCTGAATGCTGTCTGGCCTCGCTGGTTTGGTCCTCTTCTGAATGAAACCCCGTGCTTGTTTCTACCAGTCAGCGCCACCAGCTTGATTTTTAAAAGCTGCACAGATCTGTCAGTCCTGGGCCAACCTGTCCTCACATGTGACTCGTTCATGGCAGACCTCTGGACATGGGGTGTGTGTGACATGTGCCTGGGTTGGCTCGGAGCTTCCCTGGGGTTTGGAAACTGCTGCCAACTCCCTGCCGTGGTCTGACCTGCTCACAGGGGTGCCCGCAGTACCCCTTGCGGATGCAAAGAGCTCTGGCATGCTGGTTTTGTCACTTGTCATGGTCAGCAGTGGCCGAAAGATGGTGCCTGTCCCGCGTGTCTTTGTGCAGCTCTCAGTGGAGCTGCTGCTCTGCAGGGCTTGTGAAACTCCTGCAGAGCTGTGGGGCGGGTGAGCTGCAACTGCAATGGGGCGTGGAAGGCTTCAGTTCTCCCTTTGGGGGAAAGGGGCTCCTTCCCCTGTTCAGATAAAGGGGTTTCCCCTCTGCTTTGGGGTGACAGACCAGCAGGGCTCCTCAATTCCCTTGCTGGGAGCTGCAGAAATGTTGATGGCCTCTGCAAAGAGCAAGGCTGGGTCAGGTCTGTGGTTCCAGGGGGTAAACCTTCACCTCTGATTCGGGTTCAGGGAGGCTGTAGCCCTCCTGTTCGTGCTGCAGGGTGTATAACCATGATAAAAGCTGCCTGGGGCTGCTCGGGTAACCAACACAGCCAGCTTTGGCAGCCTGTCTGGGCCTGTGTTGGTGGAATTGAGGTCTTGGGGCATTTGGGGCTTAAAGCCTCAACGGGGAAGAACAGGGAGTTCCCGTAGAGCCAGTGGTCCCCAAGGGAGGGAGCCCTCGGGCTGAGCTGGTGCTGGCGGGGACCTTCTCGGAGGGGCCTTACAGTACAGACTCGGGGGTCAGAGCCTCCCTGGGACAGGTCGGGGTGGGAGGATGGGAACCGAACCAGCACTTTGTAAGAGCAGCAGATAAAGGGCTGTCATGGAGGTTAAACCCGGGCGGCTCCCGGTGGGGATAACCACAGCCATGGAGGGACTCCTGCAGCATCCTTCCCTGGGAGGAGGGAGCGGTGCCTCTGTGTGCAGTTATCTGCTGTTTGCTTTTAATTGGGTTGAGAATAATGTTATGTGCTTTAAAAAAAAAAAAAATACACCTTTGGTTATTTAAATAAAGGAGACTCCTGGTCTTGTGTGGGAGCTGAGGGAGGAGGGCTGCTGCGGGAGGAAGAAGGGTGCTGATGCTTCAGTGCTTGCTGGGGGTGGGTTTGGTGATTGTGGGGAAGGGCAGGTCCCTGTCCCCACCCTGTGTCCCACAGGCAGGAGGGCCATGCTTCTGCACCCCGGCCTCATGCTGAGCTACAGCCTGGCCTGAACTAAGAGGGCAAACGCCTGCAGGGACCTGTCACAGAGGAAGAGGAAGGTGGTGCCTGTGTGGCTGGGAGCCCACTTCAAAGCAGGGCCCTGGAGCAAGCACCTTCCCAGCCAGTGACGATCCCGCAGCCTCAGTGTGTGCAGCAGGAGGCTTTATTTTGGTGCAGCCTCCAGTGGCTCCTCCTGCAGCTCCACTCTAGGCAGGTAGGGAAGTGTTGTACCAGGTCTGTCCCCTCTGCTCTGCTGTACCGGTGTCCTCGGGCTTGAGCAGACAGTGCTGGGGGGGTAGGAGCGTGCGCGGCGACTGTTGGGTCGGGGAGAGACTGGTTACACCTACAGCGGGTGCTGGTGTAAACACGTGGGTGTGCTGGGCCTCCGTCCCCAGTCCAGGCGTGCAGAGGACTGTCCCTCCCTCCTTGGCCTCACCCTCTTGGCACTACCGAGCCGCACAGGTTTGTTCCTGTCTGCTCTGTGCTGTTGGTGGGAGCGTTGCAGGGAAAGGGTTTCTATTAACGCAGGTAAAACCAGACTCGCTCGACCTTCAGGCCCATGTAAAAGCTTCATCGCTGTTACTGCTCTGTCAGGCCCAGGGATGGTGCAGAGGATGCTGAGCAGGAGCAGGCCATTTCAGAGCAAGCTGCTGCAGCTGCTGTGCTAAGAAGCAGGGAGGCACCAGCCCAGCTCCAGCGCTCGTGGAGCGAGGCTGGGCCCAGAGAGCAGAACAGAAGCTGCAGGGATGGGTGCTCCCTGTACCCAGCCAGTGCCGTACCTTGGCAGGGAATAGCTGCACCCATCCATGGCTGTGGTGCCCGGCTTGGGGCTGCCCCCTTCCACATGGCATTTTTGGCCACAGTCCCCCAAATGCAGGACTTGTCCCCACCTTCTCTGGCTGGGAGGCGGGGAGTGGGGGGGGCAGCTGTCCTGCCAGGGCCAGGTCTGTGCCAGGAGCTGATGTCCCAGGGTAACACTAAGTAAAAGCCAGGCAAAGCTGAGCACCACATGGCTTCGTGTACAGCCAGGCACTAATGGCACGAGGTAAGGCATTTATTTTCTGCTGCTCCAGCAGGAAGGGGGTGAGATGCTGAGGGCTCGGAGTCCAGTTTGGAAGTAACCGCGTGACCTTCAATAAGGTGAGTTGGAAGAGAAAATGGTGGAGATGCTGATGGGAAACCAGCCTTCTCCTGCTACCCTGTGCCTTCCTATCGATGATGTGGCTTCGTCCCCACCCTGGGGCTGGAGATTGAGATAAGAGCTGCAGATGCACTCAGCTTGCTCCAATTCCTCAGGCACTCGGCTAGAGTTCGTTCTTGCAGGAACCTGGGAAGGTGGGAAAAAACAAACAAACCCAAAATGATCCAGCGATGTTGTTAGCCAGGGTTTGGTTTGTCTCTTTCCCCAGGAAGGATGAGGTTGACCTCAGCCTCTGTGAACACCACCCACACTTGCTGCTTTCCCTCTGCCAAACAACCCCAGGCTGGCTCTTGTCCCACCACGTTTGGGAGCGTTGTGCTCGCCTCCCTGGCATGCCGCACACCGTGCCAGCCTCACCTGGGCCTCGCAGTCCAGTGCAAAGCGTCCCAAGGTGTGGGGGGAAAGGCAGTGACAGTAATGCTACCCCAGGGTGGGAGGCTGGGACCAGCCTGTCCCCACTGCAGGCGCAGCCCGTGGCTCTGTGTGACTAAAGGGAAGCAGGCGCTGCTGGTCACCAGAGTCCTCAGCGCCCAGGGAGCTCCATGGGCCAGGGCAGGGACCGCAGGGGGTGGCTGCTGCCCGGTCACATGCAGTTGTGGGGCTGCTGTGCTGCTAACTGGCTGTGTCGCAGCTGCCGAGCTGGGGGTGATTCAGGCTTAGAGGGGCTAAAATGGTTATGGCTTAAAGACATCTGACCTCGTGCCTTCAGTGGTTTAAAGAAGAGAAAATGTTTTTTCCAGTCCTTACACACATCCCCACGGGGCAGATAACTGGAGAGTGCAGTTGTGTCTTAGCTTTCAGGTGTGAACTGCTTCGCAAGGCCCAGAAAAGGGCTGGCTACTTAACTCTCCATGAGGTGCCCTGCAAGCCCCAGTGCTTCCTGCAGTACCAAAGGACAGTCTTGTGTCCTCCAGGGACTTTCAAGACCATGAGAGGGACAAAAAGAAGTCTTGCTTGCTGGAACAGGCTTGGCAGAAGTTAGTATCAAGACTTTGGAGTCATTCCTTGGAATAAATCCACGTTACCTTGTGATACTGCTCACATTCCTCAGTCCTGTCACTAATAATATGTACAGGGCAATACTAGGAAACTCGGTCTGCTGGAACGCTGGGTGGTTCTGATGATTACCCCTTTCTGAGATGTTTTTTAAGTGTCTATTTGCAGCTACTTAGTCTTCAAACAAGTTCTTTGAAGTCTTTTATATCTAAGCCATTACTGCAAGCAATGAACTGGGACTGGATATGCCCTGAAACAGTTTCCCCTTAAGTCTTTCCAAGCACTCTCACCCCTCCACCATAAGCATCAGGCTACTGCTGTGCGCCAGCTCCTGGGCTGGCCCGGCCATGCCCGGTTACTGGACGTGTTTGACTGGACTTACTTGATGGGAAAAAGAGCTGCCTATCCAAATAGCATTCATATGGTTTATGCTCTGCTCCGAGTCAAGCTGCAGTGCTCCGGGGAGAGTATTGTGCACACCTCGGGGACCCCAGGGGATGCTGCCCTGCTCTGCAGTGCCGTGGGGGAGCACACCAGGCAGAACCCCCCCACACCTTCAGCCATTTCACAGCTCTCACCAGTGTCTCTTCTTCAGAGTTTGCTACTTAGGAGACCCGCTCTGGTCCACTGCTTGGCGAGGGCCTGGTCTGTAGACTTCAAAAAGAAACGCCTAAAATTTCCCAGGCTCATAAATCTGCCAGCTTCTGCATGCTCCCTAAACTCTCCTGATTGACTTCTTGGACTGTTAATTCCTAAGAGCTGAGGTTTCTTTTCTAAGGACTAAGTTATAACAGTCCAGGAAGGGAACACAGCCGGCTCGGGTGCTGATTGCGAGACATTACCCACTGCTCGTAGTGGGCTCCCTCTGCTTCTGCCCCAGAGCCACGTTCCCATGTGCTGATCTTATGATTTTTGGCTGCCACAAGGGCAGTCAGATGGTGCAGCCATAGAAACAGCTTTGAAATGAAGCTAATGGGCTCTTTGTGTTCATCTTTTATTAATTACAGGCTGCTGAGCTTAGGGGAGATATAGATTAATAGTGGCATATGTGTTACTGATCTCGCTGGCCTGCATCTGCTTGCTGTGGCCTGCATGGGTGGAGTGCAATACTTGAACCCCGCTTTTTCCGGGCACTTACATGTCTCCAGCCGCTCCTCAAGGAAGGAGATCTGCTCGCTCAGGGAGTCGATTCTGTCCAGTTGCTGGAGGGAGTGGGAGAGCCGGCTGATGGGGTCTGCGCCAGCGTCCTCCGGCGCATATGGCATGAGGTTGTGGAAGGGGGCTAGCACCAACTGGAGTTTCTGCAGGGACAAGGGGAGCCGTGAGCATGTTCTCCCCAGTCATGGGGACCACCCAGCAGGACGTAGGACGTCACCTGCTGGGGTGCACCCCACTGGGGCAGCACGCCGGCCAGCTCACAGGGCTTTGCTTGCATTCAAAGGGCCGCCAGGCTGGAAGAGCTGCTGCGTGGGCGCTGCCGGCAGCGTGGAGCACAGCTGGGATTGCTGCGGCGTCAGTGCAGCATGACATTAAAAATAGAGCCGGGGCGGAGGGAAACCCTGGCTGCAAACAGCCCGGGGTGGGAGCTGGCTGAGCGCAGCCTGGAGCTGCAACAGGGCAGTGAGGGCAGGGCAGAGGTGTGTGCTGCAAGCTCACCTGCTCCAGCGCTTCCACTCTGCTCTTCAGGTCTTTCATTTCTTCCTTCATTTCACTGGGGGCACCTGAAAAAGTGACCGAGAAAAGATCAGTGAGTAAAAGCCCAAGGTGAAGTGGAAGGTGCTGGGGGAGAGACATTGCTGCAGGGCCCAGGCCAAGCTCTGCTGCTTTCCACTCCCCCCACTAATGAGCCCCTGGGGTCTGCCCCACTGGGACCAGCTCCTGGAGCATCAATCAGATCCAACGCCTGCTGCAAGCACTGGCATCTAGTCCTGCTGCAAGAAAAGGTCAGTGAGTAAAAGCCCAAGGTGAAGTGGAAGGTGCTGGGGGAAAGACATTGCTGCAGGGCTCAGGCCAAGCTCTGCTGCTTTCCACTCCCCCCACTAATGAGCCCCTGGGGTCTGCCCCACTGGGACCAGCTCCTGGAGCATCAATCAGATCCAACGCCTGCTGCAAGCACTGGCATCTAGTCCTGCTGCTAATGCACACAAGCCTCTCCTTGCTGCTGGAGTACCTGCAACAAAGCGGGGAATTTTTCAGGCAGTGGGGTGATACTCAAAGGATGAGATGTCTGGCAAAGCCAGGCCTTCCGTGCCTGTGTTGTCAGATTAGTTAGCACCCGGGTCTGCCCTGTTCCATGGTGGGCACAAAGGATCATCCCTGCTGAGGGCCCTGGACACGGGATAAGGGCAGGTGGCTTGGGGGACACGCACAGACAGTGCCCTGCTCTCCCAGGTGTTTCCCACGTGATGCCCGTGCTGGCCACAGCGCATTATTACTCACGGTACGAGTTTGAAGTGTCACAGCGCGTACCAAAAGTAATAATGGGCCGTCACCAGCAGCGCCTGCTGCTCCTCGTGGCTCCGGACTTGCCTTGCGGGAAGGACGATGATGATGATGGAGAGAACACCTGCATCCCAGCCAGCGAACAGATGGGCTCTGTCACCCTTGCAGATGGAGCAGTGGCTGGATTTGTGCACAAGGGAGGTTGTCTGGGTGGTAGAGGGACTCCTGGGTGACTGGGAATAAAGCTGAGGGGTTCTGGCTGTCATCCTCTCCCCTGTCTTTTGCCAGTCCTGCTCCAGCCACCCTGCGATGCTGAGTGTTAATCCCAGCTTTCATCGAAGGCCGTGAGCAGCCGGGGCTGTCCTGCAACAGGGGACAGGTTACCTGCTTGGCTGAAGGATTCTGGCTCAGGGGCTGGCACCAGGGGCTGGCACGCCTTGTTGTCGGCGGCGAGGCTGAAGCCATCCCGGCAGGCGCAGTGGTAGCTCCCGGCTGTGTTGATGCAGCGCTGGCCGCACCCGTGGCTCTGGCCGGCACACTCATCCACGTCTGAAACCACAGGTACGGCTCGGTGAGGACAGGGGTGGTAAGGAGGGTGCTTACCGGGGGCGAGGGGTGCGGATGGCTCAGCCCCACTAGCAGGGGTCCTGCTCCCCTCGCTAGAGCCACCCGGGCTCACACAGGATGTGGATGCGATGGGACACCAGACCAAGCTGGTGTTTGTGCTGGGCACGGCTCTGGGTGCTCTCAGCACTGCAGAGTGCGAGCACAAGAACCCGCCAGTGCCTGGGACAGCCTTTCCTCTTGCACCTGGCTGGAGTAAACCTGGGCTAACCCTGAGGGGGATCTGGCCTCCTCCCCTCTGCCCGCCCCCGCCCCCCAAAAGAGCCAGAAACAAAAGCTGTGGTCAGAAATGTCCCAGCCCTGGCCAGAAACGTCCCAGCCCTGGCCAGGCGGGTGCAGGCAGCGCTCAGCTCTCATCCTGGATTTATGGCCAGGGTTTTGGTTCCAGCCAGCCGTGGCGAGGAGCTATCAGCCTTTCAAGTGTGTACAAAACCCAGTAACCTCTCCTCACACGGGGGAGTT